CTATATAATTGTTTTCTGTTGAATTGATTTACGCGGTTTTCGACCTAAAGTACCACCAAATTTTTTTTCATATCGGTGTAGCAGCTTATTTCAGGGTTCGGAGGTAGTCATCCTCAATTGGCATCGGGATAGTGAAGAGATCCAGTCTTTTTTATTTGAAGCTCAATGCTTTCATGAATTTAGGTGAAATATATTGAATAAAAATCTCAGGTTGATTTCGTCTGAAGCTCTTATTGAAGTTAGTGTGTGACACGAAGGTTTTCGTCTTTGAAATTTACGAAAATTGGAGTATTTTAAGTATTATTGCTAAATGGATATTTCAACAAATTTACATCTCTTTCTTTTGGCATATAGACTTTCGTGTTGTTTGTTTTCTTCGTTTTTACTTCCCTACTTATAAGTAGTATAGTTCTTTACAAGAAAGTTTTACTTTCTGGTTGGATCTCATTTATTTGAGCTCATTGACTGATTAACGTTATTTCAAACTAGAATTTTGCACAGAAGTGTAACAATTCAAGTTGACATGCTTTTACAGCTAGAATCAATTTGTCCAGTATCCGACATCTACCTGAATAGGATGTCGACTTTGGTCCTCCAGATGTAACAAAGGTTTCTTTGACTATTTCTAATCTGAAACGAGACAGAGCAGCGGGATCTGGTGGGATAATTCCAGAGGTGGAAAACAGTTGTCTAGGTTAGCTAAGGTATTAGGTGATTTTTGGGAATCGGAGCAGATCCACCACTGACTATCCGTCTATTAGGAGACAAGACTGATATTCGTAGTCCGAGAGGGGGTGTTAGCTTGATTTACATAGTATCTAAAGTTGTAGGTCCAGTCACCGTTTGTAGACTAAGTAGTGCTCGAGAGAGATTCCGTACAGTTGTATATAGAGATTTACAAAAACGACTGTTAGATCAACTTGGCAAAGTCGACTGACTGACTGGTTTCAGCACAGAAAACTTTGCACGGATGTGCAGCAGTTTGAGTTGCCTTCACTCTCCCTCCATGTAGCACACAAAGCAAGAGAAGACAGTGAATAGAGATGCAAAAGGGAAAAATAATAGACAAAAGTGTGAATGAGGGAAAAGAATGGTAATATGGAAGAACGTGCGTCGGTGGCATAGTGGTTAGGACACGCCGACTATCCACATGGTCCGGAGTTCGATCCCCGGCCACGGGACGCACTCCTTTACCTCGCTAAGCCAGAAATAATTCTGGTAAAGAGGAAAGGTTGGGCATGTGGCTAGCGACCCTATCCTGTAAAATAAACACTGCTACAGAAACTTCAAGCCACTAGCTTGAAGCCCTATGTTCCACTGGGGAACGTGAAATTAAAAAAAATATGGGAAAAAACTAAAGTTTTACTGGATATGACAAACCGCAAAAAGTTGGTGCATTTGTGCCAGTCATCGAGAGTGACTTTCAGTTATATCACCAATTGTTTCCCAGCCACTGTTTCTTAGAATCCCGAGGACTTCAACCAGCCTGTCAGTTTACGTCTGCCTTAGAGACTGCCTGGCTGACTTAAACTAATTGTTGTGAATTTCATTGATTGATGAAGCCATGTTTCGTTTGACCACTATTAGCCTAACTCTTTTCCAACCCTATCCATCCTATGTCAGCGAACAGTGTCCGTTATCGACGAAGGTAATGGCTAGACATGCGTAAAACACATGTCCTAACAATTTTAATCGATGTAACTTCACAACCTCGTCGACTGATTACCTAGCCAGTCAGCTATTTAGAAAGGTGTAAACTGACAGGCTGGTTGGTAAGAACCAGTTACGGTTCGAGACAATTGGTGATATGGCTCAAAATCGTCCTGAATGGTTCGTGCAGATGCATTCACTTTTTTTTATTTATAACTTTCAATGAAACTCTTTTGTTCCTCCATGTTGTAATTGTTCTTATTGCCTTACATTTCTGTTTATTATCTCTCTCTTTTGAACCTCTCTCTTCACTGTCTTCTCTCGCTTTGTATGATACATGGAGGAAGAGTGGTGGCATCTCGAAGTGCTTCACACCTGTGCATGGTCGATCTACGTTGAAACCAGTCAGTTAGTTTATCTCCCAATCAGAATGCAAAGGAATGAGTGACAGCGTAGTTCGAAATAAATCGCTCGGCTTCAGTGCATGCAGGATTAGTTAATAATTTAGAAAGGGCTGTTGGTGTGTGTGTGTGTTATATTAAGAGGATCAGAAGACGAAATAAGTGGTGGGTGACCTCATACTAATATTCTGCACAAACATTTGATTTTGCTTTGTTTAAGTGTAACTAACTCAGTTCAAGACTATAATACTGTCGACAGTATGTACACCAGAAAAATATTTTAATGCGAAAACTTCACTGGAAATATAACTTGTCATTAAACCACAATAGGAACGAACGAATGAACGATGATGCTACAATTAGCGGGGATATGCAGCGAAGCCATTCCATATTGTACTTCTTCCTTGCCCTTTCATGTTGTTTTACACATGTATCTTTCGTATCTTCTCTTCGCCAGTAAATCCATCTCTCCGTCTTATTCGATATGCTTATAGTTGCTATACATATTTATTCCTTCATATATAAACTACTTATAAATCTTGTCAGTAGCTTAATTCACCCAACGTAGTTTTCCTGTTTGGTTTGGAATTCTGTGCGATAAACACAGCTTAGATGTATGCTAAACGTGCTAATTTTATGTGACTTTATGCTATTATTATTATTATTATTATTAGTACTATTCAGTTTTCGCTCATGTTCATGTTTTAATTGCTGGGCAATTAGAGGCGGCGGCTTGCTTGAATCTCTGACTGACTGACTGATTGGCTTTAACATAGAATTTTGCACAGATGTGCAGCAGTTCAAGTCGCCACACTCCCTCCTTGTACCACACAAACCAAGAGAAAAAAGTAAAAGGGAATGGAAAATAGAGGCAGTCAACAGAGATTCGAGGCAAAAAGAATAGTAATATCGAAAAACAATAGTTTTATTGGATGAGTCACAAGGAGTGAATGCATCTGCGCCAGCCATCTGTTGAGAACGATTTTGAGTCATATCACTAATTGTCTCCAACCACTATTGGTATTTACCGCCCGCGGACCCAACCAAAATATGCACACCTTCCTACGTGGATCCCATTGACTGATGAAGCCATGTTTTAGTTTGACCACAACTGGCTCTTTCTCAACCTGACCTTATATCAGCCAACATTGCCCATCGAGGAAGACGGCGGCTAGACATGCATGCGTAACACATATTCTAACCATATCAATCATAGATTGATTTCCCCTCTCACCTGCCTAGCACTCGACCGATGCCTAACCAACTCAATATTGCTCACCTTACTATACCACTACATCACACGGGAGATAGAACACAGGCACCTATGATCAAAGATAGCTAGCCACACTTTTCATGTCTTTCACTCTCAATGGCCAGGTCTCACAGCTATAAAGGATGACGGAGCGGACTGCTGAGCAGTGCACGCGCCCTTCGACCGATAGCCAGCCAGATATTACGTCTACGCCAGAGGTGGCGTAAACTGGTATATTATGCCAAGCGAGCCGTCTGTATCCGTACTGAAATTTTGTCAGCAATCAACCTCACTGGCGTTGGCTGATGCAAATTCTCAAATAAATGAAGTGGTCAACACGCTCGACCAACCACTTCACTCCTGCTTATCTTTAAGCTAGGAGTCAATGTAGTCCAGTACAGCACAATCCTGTAGCCTCATCATCTTACATTTGGTGGGAGCGAATCGCGTGCCAAACATTCGAAGATTGCTCCTCTTCAAGGTGTTCAGAAGACTCTGTTGCATTTTGTCAACGTCTTCACCTAGAAGGATTCTGTCATCCGGATATTCTAAGTCAACTATTATTATTATTCCCTGGTTGTAACCAGTCAATCCCTGGGTCCTGAAGTCAGATAGAGTTAAGTTCATTAGTACATCTATGATGACATTAAGCAGAATAGGGGATAGTGGGCATCCCTGTCGGGCTACCTCTATTTCCATCCGGGACCACTTATTTCATTTATTTAAACGCATAAAAAACTTGGTACAATATGGCACCAAGAAGGATGCGCCACATAATAATAATAAAACAACATAAATTAAAAGTAAATGTAGAGAACGGATAAAGAACTTCATCTGGAAGGAAAACAGTCATGCTTAACAAGTTTAAACAGTATTCGTTAACTACCATCGAGAAGGGAAGAAAGAAGGAAATTGCAACACGTTCGCCATTTATTACGATTCTTGGCCATATCTGATAACATTTCGAGCCATCGATTCGAGCTATCTCGCCGACTCCAACCAGGGAGTTGTGACGCACCCACCGATGCTAATCTAGCACAAACACCCTTCATCCCACAACGCCACGTCATGGACTGACCACCCCTCCGCCTTTTCTGTCCCGTTCCAGGGCTGGCTAGCGAACAAAGACCTGTACGGAAGCCTCTGGGATGACATTCGCAGCACATGTCCAAGCCACCGGAGCCGGTGTTTCCTGATGACGACGCTGAATGAATAATTATCTCCACTGTGTTGAAACACGCCGCCGAACCTCAGAATTACTCACGCGATGATGCCGTTGAATGCAAGCAATCCTGTGGAGACAGCGATGATCGAACACGCAGAGTCACCGCACATCCTCAGCTCGGAGAGGCCAGGTTTCACAGGCGTAGAGCAAGACAGCCCGAACCGAATCATTGTATACCGACCTTTGACAATACATCCTATTCTCTTTATTCTTTTTTGTTGTAATCATTCAGTTATATCCCCTATCGTTGAGCATTTCTGTGAGATTACTGCGTCACATGGAGATGGTTATTTTACTTGAAACTTCTGGATGAAGAGTAAATATTATGCAATAAAGTTCGCTGAAAATTGCGTATATTGTGTAAACTTATTGTGTATAATAAAGCTATTCTTCTTCTTATCATCAATAGTAATTCAAGTGATTATTTAAATTTTACAAAAATTTTACGTTTATGATATTTTTCTGTCTACAGGAATATTGGACATTCAAATTGGCGAGTAGTACTAAGACTTGGGTGGGCGACAACAGATTTCTACGTGCCAGGTGATGCATCGTCGAATAGTGCAAGTCGGCGTGCTCTCATTCCCGAATCCTACCACGTTGTCTTTCTGTTCGTGTTGGCGGTCGAGTTATCCCCCTACCTGATCCAATTTTCCATGGGGGTCAAGCTCAGCGTTTAGGCAAACGACTTCGTATGTCTATTGATATTACAGATAAAGTATGTTCATCATATTTAAGTAAAATCAAGTTTTTTTTTCATGTATTGATTCCAGATTATTATGTCAGCTAATATTATTGCCCATTGACGAAGGTTCGACTTGCGTGCGTAACGCATCTAAGCCATCTCAATCGATTTAGCTTCAGAATACATTTTACTCTCAACCCATAAGTTGGACCATTGGATCGGGTCATAGTGACTTAATGGTATACGAACTCGCCTTGTAACCAGAAGGTCCTGGGTTCGAACCCCCCTCGGGGTGGGTGCGTATTGCTGAAGAGTCTCAAACTAGGACGGTGGAAACAGCTGTCCAGTACTCCCGGGTTTTCCAATGGTGTTCTAACTAATGTCAGCTCATGATGAAATCCCGTAGTTTGCTAGCTGTTTCGCTTGATTTTACACCTACTCACTGAAGGTGAATTAGCGTTCATGTGAATAATCAAGGCCTATTGGGAGCACTAATAGGAAGGAAGCTACCAACCGCATACGTCGCTTTAACCCATGAGTTATCTGCAGCTAAGGCACCAGTCACCCTGAAAAATCCTTCTATGTTGTGATACCTGTGTTTGCTAGAGATTGCAAAGTAGGACACTGTAAATTAACAGATTATTATCTATGTTGTTTATCTAACTCTAGGTTCTGAGTGGGACATAGGGTTTCAGCGGCATATCTCCACTTTGTCCTATTCCCCGAAGTCCCCTCAAACTGGCCCCATGATTATCCGTAGTCTCTCTCTTGGCCTCACATGATCTCCTCCGTATTTCCTTAGGACCCAGCCTAACTCCTTGTCTCCCACTCGGGTCTGGTGCGCGATATCATTCGACGGTCTCCTCAGCATGTGCCCGATTCATCTCCATTTTCTTGTTGCTAATTCTTTCTGGCTATCTGATCGTCAGTTTAGTATGGTGCTAGCGAAGGCAGCCGTTGATAAAAGTTTGCAGTCTGTTAGAAATATTTTCAGTGACACGCCAAGTTTCTGACTACATAGAATAATGTTAGAGGTAAAAATCCGAGTCTTGCTTTTTACTCTAAGTGCAGGAGATTTTCAAAGTGGAGGCCATTCTTGACTTTCCGATTCTAGTCTTGACATTCTCATCTGTGCTGTTGCCTGTAGTTGAGACGATACTGCCTAGATATAAGAGGAGAAAAAAGGAGCTCTTCCAGATTTCTCTCTTTGTTGCTGTTTGTAGGTTATTTTCGTCATTCCCGGTCTTCTCTCTGTTTACTTGAAGTCCCGTCTGTGTCGCTACTTCTTATGCTACTTTGTTGGTTTTTATCTGCCGACCTTTGAGTTTGTGTGACACTAGACATAAATTGTCGACAAAGTTCAGGTCTTCTAGACTCTTATTCTTTTTTGGCTACAACATATTCCTGTCTACTAACTCCTTGTGCACAGTCTGACGCATAATTCAGTCCACCACAATTAGGAATGTCATTGGTGATAATAGGGCGGGCAGCCTCGATGAGTTTTCCGTCGTGGATCACCTGACACGTGGCAGGCATTGTCAAATAGAGCCGGCTTTTGAATGAGGTTGATAAAGATCTGGTTACTTCTTCACGCTATAGTGTTGAATTAGTTTCCAAATGACGTCTAGGTCAACTCTGGCTGTCGAAGGTCTTTTCGAAGTCGATGAAGTTGAGGTAGGGGTTTGACTACCATTCTATGTATGCTGTATTCGATTGATTAACTGCAGATATGATAATGTCATGTATGATGATATTACAGTTGTAACAGAGACGTGGTAACAAGACAAGAATCAACTCTGATGGCAAATGCCAGCTGACAATGACAAAGCGGCAATAATCCATGGTTTCTTACCCCAGATACATTCGGAATGCAACGCAACACACTCAGCGTGTGTGTATACCTTTTTAAGTATTGTTTTTTGTAGGGATTTAGTTAGATTGGATGGGGGATTTGATCATGAGTTGGGAGTACTGGACAACTGTTTCTTCCTAGTCCGGTACTCTTCATCAGTACACACCAACTAGGGTTCGAACCCAGGACCTTCTGGCTTCAAGGTTTTCCAGTGGTTCTCTAACTGATGTCAACTGATGATCGAATCCTCTATACCACTTTTTAGGCAATTATCTTTGTTGCTGTATGTCTGTGGGTAGTTTAGACACATTGTTCACCCCGTACACTTGTCGCTCTCTCTCTCTCTCCCCAATCTTCGCCCCTATGTGGTAATCACATAATAGATTTCTCATTATTGCTATGTAGACCCCACGATCTAGCTGCATTCTGAAGACTGCGTAGATGTTGGTCCTCCATAGCTGCTTGAATTTTGGAGGTTTGTTTCTAATCGGACACAAGATAGCAGCTGTTTGTTTGGCTTCAGAAGTGTTCATGCATGGCTCTGTGGAATTATTGATTATTATTTATTATTGTCATTGTTTCCTTTAGTTCCTGAAGGAACATAGGGCTTCAGCCTCATTCTCCATTGTCTTCGGTTCTCTGCCAACGTTTTCACCCCACTCCAAGTCTGTCCACATGCTTTCATCTCTTCTTCACATGACCTCCTCCAAGTTACCCTTGTACTGACGGCCAACTCGCCGCTTCCCTTTCGGGTTCCATTTGAGGGATTGTCTAGTGATGTCACAATAATAAAAGTACTAACTAGTGAATGTAAATATAAAGTGGTTACGTTCAACTAGTTCAATACATCACTCACTTCAGTTAGTTGGAAATGGGACTAAATAGAGTGTCAAAAATCCTAGCGTCTGTAGTTATTTGTTGTGTTTGAAAACCATACAGTTTTCAGGCCTGTACGCGAGAGTATATTAGGCAATTCTCACTTTCACACTTTTCAGGATGTGACCATATTATACACTTCATTTATTCAAATAAAGGCTTCGTGTGATTCAGTCAACTGAAAGTATTGTCTCAGTGTCTAGGTGTTAAGATATACACTGAGTATTTTACTCTAGTCAAATGTATTTTACTCAACAAGTCTTACAAACGCTTTCTCCAAGAGGAGGATTCATTTCAAGGGATAATAACTAATCGCGACCCGAGCCATGCAGTATTCAATTCCCTATGCTGTTCTAACCAATATCTGAAGGCTTTGTAGATCGATACTAGGTTTGGTTTTGACTACTTCTACCTATTTACTAGAAAATATTGACCACTTCATCTATTTGGGAAGTTGTATTAGCACCAACGGACTGATTGGCGATGAAATCTCAGCACGGATCCAAAAAGCTCGAGCTGCTTTCGCTAACTTACACCATCTCTGGCGTAGGTGTGACGTCCGGTTATCAACCAAGGGACGTGTGTACTGTTCAGCAGTTCGCTCCGTCCTTCTCTATGGCTCTGAAACATGGCCAATACGAGTTGAAGACATGAAAAGGTTGACTGCTTTCGATCATAGATGTCTGAGATCTCTGTCTCACGTTAGGTGGTTTAATAAGGTAAGTAATGTTGACGTTAGGAGTAGAGTGTTGGGCAAAGAGGGAAAATCAATCGACGAGGCTATAAAGTTACATAGGCTAAGATGGCTAGGTCACGTTCTGCGAATGCCTAACCATCGCCTCCCCCGACGGGCATTACTAGCTGACATAGATAGGTGCAGGTTGGAAAAGAACCAGTGGTGGCCAAACAAAAACATGGCATCAATCCATGAAATCCTTGACAGTTGAACTGAGTCAGGTAGGGAGATGCAGACTTCCGGGTCGGGGCCCTCGGGACTGACTCTAGGAATCAATGGCTGGAGACAATAGGTGACATGGCTCAAAATCGTTGTCAATGGCCAGCGCAGATGTATTCAGTCTCTGTAATCTTTCATATTCCTTTCTACTTTTATTACCCATTCTGTTTCAGTCTTATACTTGTCAGACTCTATTGATTCTCTTCACTCATCTTCTTGTCTACCTCTGTGTGCTATTTGGAACGTGGCAACTGGAACTGGTGCACTTTGGTGCCAAGTTCTATGTTGAATCCAAACAGACAGACAGATAAACTGAGTGATGTAATTGTTTGTGTTTGATTTCAACCTCTCAGGATTTTAAGGTAAGCAGGCGATATAACCCTATTAGGTGAGGACTTACTTTCTGGCCAATCCAAACGAAAATCTGAATTTTTAGGTTCTTCGTCTCTGCCAAAGTTCACAAAATGAATTGTGGGTTATATGTTATAACTCAGTTACTGGAAACAGGTTTATTTTTTTACCCGAATGTAAGTCAAAGTTGATGTGTAAAGGTTAATGATACTACATAGTTGCCCAATCTGAAGTAGGCATGGTGGTGGTATTCGAATCCAAGACCGATTAGGTAGGTGGAAGTTGAATGCCTTTGTCAACAGGTGGTCACATCTCTTTATAGTTGTGTGAGTCGTTGACACAGTGGTTAGGTCTCTCGCCGACCATGCACCATGGTCCAGGGTTCGATGATGATCCCCTGCCGACGCACACCTGATATCAATGGTCGGCCTACAAAATTTGGGCTACCGATATCATATGCTAAAAATTCTATACTTGTACCAAAAATACCGTGTGGAATCAAGCTATAATTAAGAAATAATTATCATTATTATTTTTCTTTTTTTCTTTCAACTTACCATAGGTTCTTTTGAAATGTAATTCTGGCATCAGAAGTAAAGTTATCGATATTGAAATGACTTGGTTGCATGCACCACTTGAAGATCAAACTATGGATCTGTTAAGTCTACTTGCTGATGGATTAGTCTCTCCTTTACTCTGTCATCTAATCGGGCTGCCTTTAGTTCAAGTGACACTGGATCGACTGTATACAGTTACAGACCTGCGAAATATTTTCAATCCAGGCGATCCAGATGCATTAAAAAAATTCATTGAAGGACCTGTCTTGGATGATACAAATTTTCCACCTTTAACAACAAATTCAGATGACTCAGGGCCTTTAGAACATCATGGAGTTTATGGAATCTATGATAGCTGTCTACCTTCTAAATGTATACTACCTATGGAGAATACAAAGGTAAGTATTTTGATGTATGATGAATGCCAGTTAAAATTTTTCTAAAGATTTATGTTTTGATCAAGGACTAATAAAAGTGAGAGCTGTTTCGACCTTGTTTTGGGACTCTTTAGCAGTACTTACCCATGACCCACCTCCCCCACTTTCGAAGGGGTTGGTTGGATCCATAACCTTCAGGTTATGAGGTGAGCTGGTTCACCATTATTCAGCTTCTAGAACGAAAATCAATGATTTGCGCATGAATTCTAACTGCTGTGTTGTATTTCTGTATATGTGAACTAAATTCATTTTTAACAGCTTGAAACAACTTTGGGCGTCGGTTATATCACATTCATTATTATAAAAAAGTTTTTGTATTTCCCAATGAAGTGCCTCAGTGGCACAGTGGTAGAATGCTCGTCAACCATGTCTCCCATATGGTTCGGGGTTCGATCCCCGGCCACCGACGACGCGCTCTTTTACCTCGCTAAACCAGTAATAGGAGTGGTAAAGATGGAAGGTGGTTGGTCTGTCTGTCTGTCTGTTTTCCACATAGAACTTTTCACCGATGTGTGCAGCAGTTCAAATCGCTACACTTCATGTAGCACACAAAGCAAGAGAAGAAAGTAAGAGGGGCAATGCAAAATAAAGACAGTAGACAAGAATGTACTAATGGACTTAACCCTAACTCTCTTCAGAAACTCAGGGATTGACTTGTTACCTCCGGGGAATAATCTCGTTGACTTAGAATACGCAGATGATATAGTCCTTCTAGGGGAAGACGCTGAAAAAATGCAACAGAGTTTTCTAAACACCTTGAAGAGCAGCAGTCTACGAATGCTTGGAAGGTTGGACGTGAAGCTGCCTAGCAACCCCATCCCGTAAAAGTAAAACACTACTGCTACGGGAACTTCAAGCCTCTCTAGCTTGAAGCCCTGTGTTCCACTGGGGGAACGCGAAGTAATTAAAACAGAAAAAAATTCTCAATGAATGCTGATGAGTCCCAAACTAGGACGAAACAACTGTCCAGTACTCTTAAGTTTTCCAATGGTTCTTTAACCAATGTCAGCTCATGAGGCCAGGGTAACACATGTCCCCAAAGATCTCAGTTGATATAACTTCACAGCCTCGTCGATTGATTTCTCCTCACACCTACCTAGCACTCGACCGATACCTAACCAACTCAATATTTTGCTCACCTTATTTTATACCACCATATCTCACGAAAAATAGAACGCAGGCACCTATGATCCAAAGACAACTAGGATAAAATAGTACATCATCCTCATCCTTTCTCACGAATCATGTGATCATTCATCTTGTGATGGAGTTATACTATGTAATGAATGTATCATCATTTCTCTCGCATATTGTGATTTATTGTGTGTTTGTGTCTGTGTGATCAATCCATCGTCTTTTTTCTTACCTTGGTCTTTATCAGACCAGCAACTAATCAGAACAGACATTTTCAGCTAATAAGAACAATCCAATCACGCGATTGTGAGTCAACTGTATTAAGATAAATTAAATGTATATAAATATGGTGTTTTGCTTCTTAATACATGAGCCCGAGTTAAATTGCTGAGCAGCTTGGCTTCCAGATATCCGAAACAGCCGTCCAGTGTTTTTAGACCTGACTAGCAAACAAGCTCCACCATCACCACCACCACCACTGATTGATGCTAAGTCGGTGCCACAGTGGTTAGGATTCTCACCGACGATGCACATGCTCCGAGGTTCGATGATCCCCTGCCCACGCACACCTGATATCTATGGTTGGCCTGCAAAATTTGGGCTACCGATATCCATGCTGAAAATTCCATACTTGTACCGAAAATAATACAGTGTGGAATCAAGCTGTGATCAAAAATAAAAATAAAAAAACAAACTACTCACTACAGTCAATCAGTAGTATGTATAGTTTTATGCAATTATGCTTTTTTTAAATTATCCATTTACGATATTATACGTATATATATTCAAGCAGGTCACGTGGTTTTCGGTCTGAATAGTTTCAGTTTTCAAAGGAGGAAACTGAGGTGACAGCTTTCATCTCCACGATCTGTGTAATTTGCAAGCTGTCGATTTGATAATTATCTTATATTCATAAGTTTTTTTTTTAAAGAAATGCAGCTGTTATAACTGAAATCTCATATATTTATTCTCCTTAATGAATTTGAATAAATCAAGAATAACAGAGGTTTTTGCAGAAAAAAAATGGTACCATTATTGCATATTTCGTTGGCTTCTCATCAGCTGCTTACAGGCCGAAGTCATTATTAAGTATATCTACAGAAACAATTTTAACATACACTTGCACAGAGTTAATTTTTAAACAAAAATCAATCGAACAATATATGCATAAAATAATAATAATAATCATAAACACTTTACCCCGAACAACAATAATAATCATACACAATGGAAACTTCCAGTGTTGCGTAATCAGATGAAAGGTAGAGTGGAAATATCCAGTTTACCAGACAGGAGGGCAAAGAAAGACTGATAACCGTTTATTTCTGAACGCACAAAGGGGACAAATGCTTTGAACAGTGCCATTGGCAGGCATCTCATTGTCACGGGTCATGAGGTGGAAATCGAAAGATCGTTCAAAATTATCAGTAGGCAAAAGAGCTGAATTCTCTTCAAGTTTGCTGAAGGCATCTCCATCCAGCGCCTGAAACCTGATTTATGCATCCAGAAACAAGCGGTTATCAGTCTTTCTTTGCCCTGCCTGGTAACTGGATATTTTCATCTCTCTTTCATCTGAATGCGTAATGTTGGAAAGTTTCGATTGTATATGATTATTATTGTTAGGAATAGTGTTTAATATGATATATATATATATATATATATGTGCATAGGTGGCCAGCAGTTAGGATGCTCACCGACCATGCACATGGTCCGGGGTTCGTTCCCCGGTCACCAACGCACTCCTTTACCTCGCTAAGCCAGAAATAATGCTGGTAAAGAGGAAAGGTTGGACATGAGGCTAGCAACCCGATCCTGTAAAAATAAACATTGCTACAAAAACTTCAAGTCACTAGCTTGAAGCCCTACGTTCCACTGGGAACGTGAAGGATATATATATATATATATATATATATATATATATATAATTACTGCATGCATATACTGATCGATTGATTGATTTTTTGCTTAAAAATGAACTCTATCCAAGTATGTTAACATTGTTTCTGTAGATATACTTAATAATGAATTTGGGCTGTATGCAGATGAGCTGATGAGGTGTCAACGAAATATAATAAGGATGATGGTACCACTTTATTATTGTGCACAAGCCACTGTTGTTCTTGCTTTATTCAAATGATATAACTGAACTGAATTGAATAAATCCGTTTCTAGTTTTGTTATGTCTGCACACATGTTAATTACTATAACGGTAATGAACTCAACTGGTACGCTAATACGTCTGTTTGTCCGTCGGACCTTCTGATTAACTGAGCCACGCAAAAATATCAAAAGACAAAGGTGCTGGCCTGTAACTGTAAAATATTGTGTTATTGTACATTTATTGAGAAGCAAAACACCATATTTATGTACATTTAATTTATCTTAATACAGTTGACTCACAATCGTGTGATTGGACTGATCTTATTAGCTGAAAATGTCTGTTCTGATTAGTTGCTGGTCTGACAAAGGCCAAGGTGAGATAAAAGACGATGGATTGATCACACAGACACAAACACACACAATAAATCACAATATGCGAGAGAAATGATGATACATTCACTACATAGTATAACTCCATCACAAGATGAATGATCACATGATACGTGAGAAAGGATGAGGATGATGTACTATTTTATCCTAGTTGTCTTTGGATCATAGGTGCCTGCGTTCTGTTTTTCGTGAGATATGGTGGTATAAAATAAGGTGAGCAAAATATTGAGTTGGTTAGGTATCGGTCGTGTGCTAGGTGGGTCAGGGAGGGAGGGTTGAAATCAATCGACGAGGCTGTGAAGTTACATCGACTGAGATGGTTGGAACATGTGCTCCGTATGTCTGGCCATCGCCTAGCTCGACAGCGGGCAATGTTAGCTGACTGACATAGAATGGATCATCAGGTTGGAAAGGAGTTAACCAGTGGTGGTCAAACAAAAACATGGCTTCATCAGTTAATGGGATCCGTAACAGTTCTTCTACCTTCTCTTGGTTTGTGTGGTACAAGGAGGAAGTGTGGCGAGTTGAACTGCCACACATATGTGCAAAGTTCTATGTCGAAAACAGACAGACAGACAGCTATTCTTTAGAATTGCCAACAATTCTTCACACTATATTTTCTTTTTTTTCCTGTTTTATAGCGTGAATTGAAATCTCGTTTTGAAAAGAATGATGATAGCGATAATGATGTGATTATCGGAGATGGAGGTGCAGACGGTGATGTTGAAGCGGCTGATTACATTCCGATATGTTTATTGTGTCCACTTACTCGGACAAGAATTGAGGTAAGGTGGTTCTTCTTTTTAAAATATTATTATCATCATTAGGGTATTGTGTAGGCTGGACTGATAGATTTCAGTCTACACCAGCCTAAGAATTAGACACATGACACTGATAACTATCCCAATGACCAGTCAAAGTATCCATTCCACAATTCTACAGGAGGAGGCCGACCATAAACCCGAACAGCTCAGTGACGTTGCATCGTCTCTGACTGCGACACACTAGGTGTAATTCAGTTTCAAATCTCAGAAGGGGGATGAATTCCTTTCACAAGATTGCAGATACATCGCCTTGTTTTATGAGTGCCGAAAAAGTATCTTTAATCATTCTCATTCGTCGTCTTAGCGGTTCCAGAGTTTTCTAGATTTACGGGGGTAGAGAGAGATGTTAAATCATTCCCATCACAACATGCATACACACTGTCAGTTGATTCGATAAATAAAATTTCCGTCATCACTTTCACTCTTCAACGTGTTATGCTAGGCTTTAGGACTATCATCTTATAGTTTGGTTTGTAAGGTTTAGTTTTATTTTTACGAGTTGATCACAGATTGATATCAGTTAAAGAGAGAACCATTGAAAACCAGAGAGAGTACTGGACAGCTGTTTCATCCTGATGTTTCATCTGATGCTCGACGATGGTTGGGGTCGCGCTAGATCACGAATTGGTAAAATTGTAAGTGGCTAGGTAGTTCATCATTCAGTCGAGGAATCACTATCGTTCGTGTATAGAATAAGACATTTAGTTATTCTTCTGCTGAGCTTTATGCTCAGAAGAAGTAATTCCAGATGAATTAAGCATTCTTTATGATACCTTGATTGAAAAAATATCTACATATCCCGCCAAATTTGTCAAGAAACACATCTGAAAGAAAGCGGGAAAAGACTACTCACTATCTGTATACAAGAAGTCACTTTATATACTACGACTGCAATTCAGGGACGATATACCAAGTGAAATAATTACGAGGAAATTAAGAAAATCACTTCAAAGAACTTTTAATGCTGGCGGCGAACTACATGTATCTACCAATTCAATTGCGCTTGTGGAGGAGCGAGTTATATTGGCCGTTGTTGCTCTAGGAACTTGATTTTTCGTGCTCGCTCGAGAACATCTCCCACTATGGCTAAGTAAAGGTGTAGTGAAAACCATTAACAGTGCGATATTAAACCATCTGGTTCAAACCAGCCGGCCACAAAGCCATCCAGCCAGCGTGAAAGAATCCTTCTCTATCATCATCTACCGGGCGTCTAATAAATTGCCAAAATCATCGAAGCACTGCTAGCTCCAAACAACAGAGGCTATTGCAATTCGCCTCAAACAACCAGTGCTCTGTGTTCAAAAGAAGCAAGTCCAGCCAGCCACTACTGCTACCCTGACTGGCCTTCAGTAGGGATTATAAATTCATGAATTTGTATTATTATCTTTCCTAATTTTTCTGACATTCAGTTTATTGTTATGTTGGTGCTATCGAACTGTAATCCATTCATATTATTATTGATTCGATGTTATTTAAACAGCAACATTAATGTTGTTGTTCATAACACTAATTCACACATTAATTCACTAATATGTATGTATAACTGTAGAGCCGGATGATGAAGGGGTTATCGAAAAGAGTACTGTTTGTTCAGTTACCATTCTTCTGAAAATTTTAATGGGTATTTTCAATCAGTTAAAAAATATGGAATTGCATACCACCACAGCCTTACACACACACATATTACGACGTTAAAGACATTGGGAATGCTGAAAATGCAGCTGACTGACTGAGCCGAATTAAGGATGATGGGAAACTATAGTGTAGACAGATGTTTAGTCATCTCCTACCCTTCTCCCCCGCCCCTCCTAAATACAAACTTCATGTCCTCATCGAGAAACTAGACTGACTGTCTGAATGACTGGGTTCCAACATAGAACTTTGCACAGAAGCGCAACAGCTCAATTTGTCACATCCTATGTGGCGCAGAAAGGCAGAGAAGAGATATTCAAAAAGAAACAATAATGGATAGAAATGTACGGGGGGAACAGTAACATGGAAGGACACTAGGATTTAAAAAAATATGGCAGATCACAAAGAATGAATGTATCTGCACCGATGAAAATGGATTTGAGCCATATCACTAAGCGTCTCCAGCGCTTAGGTATTAGCATCTCCAGGACTTCCAACAAGGTAGTATACGCCTTCCCCCTGTGTGTCGCTGAAACCAATAGTCAAAGGCTTTATGGTTTGGTGCCAATTTTTGGTTTGACTCTCTATCTCTCTCTCTCTTGTCTCAGACGATCACTATTGCAAATCAGAAGGCTCGTGTGGAATTCACCAACTTATGCTCTCTCTAGCGAAGACGTGGCATCCCGCTGGCTATCGCTCATATATGACATGTGTACTGAGCATCAGTTCGTTCCTCTCGTCCTTTATAGCTGTCAGACATCGTGGCCGTTGAAAGTGGAAGACATGAAAAGTCTAGCAAGCTATCTGTCTTTGATCATAGGTGTCTGTGTTCTATCATCCGTAACCGGTGGTATACGAGGGTGAGTAATATTGAATCGGTTAGTCACCGAGTGTTAGGTAAGGAGGGAAAATCTATTCAAATGGCCAGGACACTTGTGTTATGCATGTCTAGTCATTGCCTACCCTGACAACTGGCGATGTTAGCTGACAGAGTATGAATGAGGTTGGAAAAGAGCTATCATGTGGCAGTTATCAGTCAATGATGAAATCCATAACAGTTAGTTTGAGCCGGCCACTTAGGGACTCCGTGACTTGTTGGAATTCTTGGGATCGGTGGTTCCGCTGACACTCGAACCCAGGTCAAAGAGAACTAAATGTGCATCCTGGATTTCACTGTTAGTCACCACCTACCAAAATTACTTTAAGTTTAAGCCGTCAGGCATCGTTGAGGCATCTGCACAAGATTTCGACTTGTCAACAGAGAAGCCAAACACTTCAGGGAAATTCAAAATGGATTAAATTATTGTTAGCGGAAGAATTTTTATTATTATTGTTATATCCTTTAATTCCTAGAGGAACATAGGGCTTCAGCGCGCATCTCCATTGCATTCGGTTCTCTGCCAACGTTTTCACCCCGCTCCAAGTCTACCCACACGCTTTCATCTCCTCTTCACATGACCTCCTCCATGTCACCCTTGCACTGACGCCAAACTCGCCGCTCCCCTTTCGAGTTCCACTCGAGCAATGGCCTGTCTTGTGATGTCACATGATTGTTTCCTCAGAGTATGGCCAATCCACTTCCATTTCTTCCTGCCTATTTGTTTAACAATTGGTTCCCGATGCGTTGGTTCCTTTATTGCCAGAGATCTCTGTTGCTGATCTTTCCTGGCCGGCCATCTTGAGTAGTATTGAGCGAAGACAGCTGTTGATGAAGGTCTGAAGTTTGTTTGAGATGCTTTTTATGACGCGCAGTGGAAGTCTCTGATCCGTATAGTAATTAGCACTGACTTCATATTGGAGTTCAATATCCGGATCTTATTTTTGATTCTGAGTGATGTTGACCTCCACACAGACTTGAGAGTAGTGAAAGCTTGCCTTGCTTTCCAGATCCTCACTGCTTTGATATCCTCATCATTTCCGTCAGCATGTAGTTGAAGCGATGCTTACCACTTCGGTAGGTAAAGGAGGTTGTTTCTTTCAGGTTCCTCCCATTTATGCTGAATGTTGTCTGTTGTTGTCGCTGTTGGTGTTGGCCAGGAATCTTCATCACCTTTGTTTTATCTATGTTCTTTTGAAGTCCCATATTTGATGCTTCTTCTGCCAACTTGATGCTTTTCACTTGCATATCTTCCAGTTTGTGGGAAATCAGACATTATATCACATCACATAGGCGAAGTCCAGATCTTCCAAGTTTTTTGTATGACTCCATTTTATGCCTGTTTTTTTCTTTCTGCCCGCCTCTGTCTGTCGCATTATCTAACCTACTGCAATCAAGAAGGTCATTGGCGATAGTAGACAAATTAATTTTGCCTTCTCCTCTTTCATTGTTTGGAGACTTTCAGTGAAAGTAGGATTGCATTGAGTGTGTGTGTGTGTTAATTCCTGCTTTGAAAGCTACTCAACATAATTATGTAAAGAAGACAAAAAAAGACAAAGAAATATTTTTTTCTTTTAACATTTTCAATAATAATAATCTATTGATTGATTGATTGTCTTATTATTATTATTACACATTACAGTTTCCTGTAAGATCGTATAATTGTTCACATCTTCAATGTTTCGATTTAAATTCCTATCTAACAATGAATCTACGTCGACCACGTTGGACATGTCCAATATGTAATACGCATTCACCATTTCGTGATCTAAGAGTTGATGAGTAAGTCAAATTTTTATGTTTTTTATTAACGACTACTTTGTAATATGATCAATGAATGAGGAAGTAGAATGTTGCTGGATGATCACTGTAAATAAAAGACAAATTCATCAGCGAAGAAAATTTTCTTTATCGACAAAAGTCATCTTCCTTCACAGGCTGGCTGTACAGTCGTATTTATACAGTGAGGTCGATAGTGTGCCTGAATAGCTCAGTGGTAACGTCCTGTCTGAGTGCAACACTGTGTGTGATGCTAGTTTTAATCTCAGAAGGGATGTAAGTTCCTTCAAGGCTGTGGGTATGTTTTGCTTGTGGATGGTAAGTGACAACAGGCATGAAAAGTAGTAGGATCAAGGCGTCTTGTAGATTGCCTCCAACCTTCTGATTTGAACAAACTCGTTGTTCAGGTGTTAGATAAGTCAGTAATAAATTGCGTAATTAGAGACAATAACTCCCAGTAACGGATCATAGGAATTATCAAGAAGACAATTGCAGCGAAGAAAAATTTCTTTTCAACAAAGTCATCAACTAGGTTGTACATTCGTGTATTTATAACCGGTGGGCTGGAAAGTTCCAGAATAATTTCTGGTCAAGGGTCACATTAATAAAGTTATAATTAGGAATTAAAATGCCGTAATAAACAGGGTGGGGGACGGATAAAACTCAAACAAAGTAGCATCATAATTACTGAGAAGATTGACATATTGTGCAATTGGGGGCTAGAAATGTAGAAATAACAAAAGTAGACAGGACGGTTGGATAAAAAATCTAGTAGGATCATAACCAATATGACGAATAATTGTGTTATGCAATCAGGGATTAAATATGTGGAATTAATAAAATAGACAGGAAGTTCGGGTATGACAATATGGTGGTAGTATGCGTAGGGATTAAGAAAAACTTAAAAATAACATGAATAAACACAACGTTTGGTTTAGAAAGGCAATGGGATAGTCACTTTTAATAGAAATACCTGTTTATGATGGCCATGGCAGGGACAAGGATTCTTTGGTTTTGCGTCCAATATTTCCTTAGTTATTTTTTTAATTTTACAAAACCAAAAAAATATTTTTAATGTTTCAAAAATATATAGTGGTCTATTATTGAGTAATAGGGGGGTGACTTTAGAAGTGAAAATTAAAAGTTGTAAATTACGTTTCTTACTTTACTTCGGCTATCTCCTACGGGAGGATGAGCCGGCTTCATGAACATCTCAAATCATCGCTGCCCAGGCGCGGCGATCTTATGCAAGGTTTTGCGACAGGGTCATCCAATTCTTGTTCCATAGACGGTTTGTAGCCCCAGGCACTCCATGTCAGCCTTAACTGTACCAAGCCATGTTTTCAGCTGTCCACCCCTGCGACATCGCCAAGATGGAAATGGCGAGGGATTTAGAAGTGATTTGACCAGATCGTCATCTGGTTGGCGCAGAACATGGCCAAACCACCGAAGGCGACGTTGTTGGACCAGTACTAGAATTTGGTTGATGTTGTAGCAACGAGAGTTCATGAAGTTTCATGGGAATTAGGTACGAGTGATGTCCCCAGCATCGCTCGGCCTTTTGTTTGAGAGTGCAGCTCTAGCCTTTACACAACTAAGTGTGACCTACAAGGCAGTAGGAGCGGAGTAGGGAGTCCACTATCCATTGTCAGCTGGTGACCGGAGTCCGGTTCATACGCCTTTTTTGAATGGGGCCAGACACCAAGGGCATCCAATAAGCCCTTTTGTCCATACGTCTGCCGGTGAGCTTCATACGCCAGTCGTTGGAGGTTTGGAATCAGGGTTTAGCCATCTCCCCTAGACTGTCATCCAATGGGCAGTCAACCCGGTGAAGAGCGCCGGGCATCCGCTTTTGCCCTCTCACTTCGGTGAAAAACACCTCCGCCACATGAAGGCAGTGAGTAGGACTTCCTCAGGAGAGGCTATGTAAGACGCCCGGTCATATGGGAGCATTTCAAGAGGTGTACGGAGGAGTGGCCAACCCGCAGCGCAAGTCACCCACCCACGACCATCCTGAGGCTTTGGAGGCTTGTAAATTACGTGGTACTCATCGGCACAAAGATAGAAATTTGATAAGGTTAACATTACTATTGAGTGAGAATAAAGGTATTTGAGTGCTCAATTTAACAAGTTAAGAGGGTGTGAAATGTAAAGAAGGAGCATATGAGATTGATAATAGTGGATTAATTATTAAAGTAAAAGCAAACTAAAAGTAAAATTAAAAACAAAAGAAAAAATCAAAATTTTTTTTATACAGCGAATGACAGGTGATGAAGAGGTTAAGACTAAGGTAGAATAAGAGACTGGACAAACTTTTTCTGTATAAAGAGTTCAGGGTTGTATTGACGAGTTACCAGCGCCTCCGCCATACACAAAAGCCGAAAACTGACGCCTTTTGTACCATTTGCCCTCACGTTGTAGATTATCTTGAAAGATGACTCTGGTGGAGCTACGTGGCCTGAGTTCACCAAGTGCTGGAGAATTGAGCTAGTAATTGTCTTGCATTTTCCCTTTGCTAACCATGCCTGATAATGTTCAGAGGTGCGTTTGGAAAATATGTGCTTTGTGCAGTCAGTATAAGTAGCTCCACACAAGCAGGTGAATTTATAAACACACACTGAGGTGGCCCGTCCAAAGCGGCAGTTTATCCTTCACACATCCGTTGATCATTCGTCGGCTGTAGAAATTGATACGTAGCTCAACCAAAAAGAAGGCCTTCCTCAGTGATCTGCATAAGCAACTCTTCAGGATCTCAGCTGCGGTATCACCTTTAAATTCAACGCTCATAAATAGCAGTTTCTTCGGCACCGTCTGGATTCGTTCAGGCTTTTCCCTTAACTTCATGTTTTACGCTATATATCTTGGAGGATATCCATGTATCTTTGGTACAAATGGAAACTATCGATAGCTTACTGCACAATTGCTCATAAGATCTTACGTTTGCATACTGTCTCCTCTATGTCACCCTGTACTCCTGAATCTCCTTCTCCTGTCTGGATTCCACTCGAGGAGTGGCATAGTGCGTGATGTCATTCGATGGTCTCCTCAGCGTGTGCCCAGCGAAGGAAGGCAGCTATTTGTTGATAAAAGTCTGTATTAGCCTGTTGAACATGCTTTTGTTGACTCGTCAGGTTTCTGACCCATATGTCTTCGCTCAATACTACTCAGGATCAGATGGCCGGCCAGAAAAGATCATCAACAGAGATCTCTGGCAATGAATGAACCAACTCATCAGGAATCAGTTGTGCAAGAAATATGCAGGAAGAAATGGAGGTGGATTGGATTGTGGCCATACTTTGAGGAAACAAAGCACCATCAAGTAGACATCACAAGACAGGCCATTACTCGAGTGGAAGCGGTGAGATGGTCGTCAGTGCGAGGGTGACATGGATGCGGTGATGTGAAGATGAGATGGAAGCATGTGGGTGGCAGATGTGCAGCAAGGTTAAAACGTTGACAGAGAACCTAAGGCAATGGAGACGTGCACGGCTAAAGCCTCATGTTTCTGTAGGAATTAAAGAAAATAATTATGATAATACAATCGTACTCGTTTTTATCATTAAAATTCTGAAGAGTATTCATTAAGCCCTTCTTTAAAAAAAAACAAAGTCTCATCTTATTGATTTTGATTTTACACTTGATAATATAAAAATCTTCAAAAGAATGAATACTGAACAAAGAGTACTATTTTCGATAACCCTTACATCATCAGGCTCTACAGTTATATATACACATTATAGTGAATGAATGAGTTAGTGTTATGAACTACACTAATGTCGTTGTTTAAATAACATGGAATCACCAATATTGATAGATTACAGCTGAATCGCATCGACATAAAATAAGCTGAATGTCAGCAAAATTAGGAAAGATAATAATACAAATTCATGAGTTTATAGTTTCTACTGAGGGCCAGGGCAATAGTAGCGGCTGAACTTGCTTCTTTTAGATACAGAGCGCTGGTTGTTTGAGGTGAATTGCAATAGCCTCTGCTGTTTTGAGCTAGCGGTGCTTCGATGATTTTGGCAATTTATTAGGCACCCGGTATAATATAGAGAGTGCGTCAGTGGCACACCGGTTAGGACACTCGTCGACCATGGTCCGAGGTTCGATCCTCGGCCGACGCACTCCTTTACGTCGCTAAGCCAGAAGTAATTGTGGTAAAGAGGAAAGGTTGGGCATGAGGCTAGCAACTTCATCCTGGAAAATAAGCACTGCCACAGAAACTTCAAGCCATTAGCTCGAAGCCCTATGTTCCACTGGGAACGTGAAGGAAAAATCATGAAAATCAATCATAATATAGAGAAGGATTCATCTGCACTGGTTTTTCCGCCGTTTTCTTTATCATGTGTTTCTTGATGAATTTTTTTTCGGGATAGCTAGATGTTTTCGATCAAGGTATCATCTGCAATGTTTAATTCAACAAACCCTATTAAAAACCCTTTTTTTTATACACTTTCTACCCCCCCTTTTTTTTAGATTATTTATGAGTATTATTCAAGATCCACGTAGTGCTAATCTTGAATTTGTTCATATGGATTCAAATGGGGATTGGCATGTAAACAATCTTCCTAGTACCAATGCTGCTACGGCGACGACGACGACGACGACTACCACTAATGCTACTAGTGCTACTAGTACTCCTACTAAGAATGATTCACTTACTGTCGACAAATGTCCACCTACAGAAATCAAGTCTACCGATGACGAAGACGATGATGATGATGATGCGGCAACATCAAATAATAATAATAATCAAGGCGATCATGATACTGTGACAGAAACTGATGCTATTGTCAAGGATAAAACAGAAAACACCGGCGGTGGTAATGATGGTGGTCGTGAAGAAGGAGAAAGCGGTAATTCCCCTGAAAAAAGTCAATTGATAACGATGAATGAATCAAAGGAAATGGTAACATCTGTTGATAATCTTGAGGCTACTACTGCCACTACTACTACTACTACGACGACGACGACTACTCCTACTGCCACTACTGCCACTGGGGTGAGAGAAAATCGTCATTCAGAGGAACCTATAGTGATTATATTAAGCGATGATGATGATGATGACGAGGAGGTGGCGGATAATAATAATAATGAGAATGACAATGGCGGTGACGTTGATGACAGAGGAGGTGAAAAGAATGAAGAAGGTTGTCCATCTAACAGTCATCAAAATGAATTAAGAAATGATAATGGAAATATGAATTCGACGGATAAATCAAAGAATCCTGTACGTGATCACTCTTTATCGCATATAAATGAAAAAGTTAATGGGTAAGTTTAACAATTATAGAATTATTAATTTATTGATTTATTTATTTATATGATTTCATTCCTTTACATTCTCCTAATGGAACATAGGACCCTCCTTGAAGCTAGAACTTTGAAGTTCCGGTACCCAGTGGTGATTATTTTTACAGGAGATGAAGTTGCTAGTCAGCCTCATACTGAACTTTCCCTCCTGCTTACCAGTCTTAATACTACTGGCTTAGCAGGGTAGACGAATGTTTTGGCGGCCGGGGGTTGAATCCCGAACCACGTGTGGGGAGTAGTCGAAGAGCATTCTACCACTGTGCCACTGACGCAACAACTGCAGTATATATATATATATATATATAATATATAATTCCTTCGTAAGACTTACAAGCGAAAAACCACTGACTTTAAATGCTGTTTTCACTTTTGGCTGCTACTTCTTATCAATCAGCATCTGTATACTACTGATAAATCTTATTAGTAGTACGAGTCACAATAGGCAATACTACCGCTACTGATATGTCAATGTTCAAGCTTGAAACCCCTCTATTTTACTGAGTGCGCAAAGAAATGAAATAATAGTAGTTTAAAGTTACACGTTGTGTAATTTCATTGTAACTTATGGGGATGCATAGCTAACTGGATTGAACGAACTTCGAGTGGGGTGCAAAAGCACACTAGTCACTTTGAACGCATATCATTCGTTAGATTACAGATTCTGCTGTGTATTATACATTGAAAGGCCGTTTATTCAGGAAAAACATTAACACGATAATGATAATAATAATAATAATAATAGTGAAGAACGTTAAAGATAATATTTTAGCCTGGTCAGGTCACTGGAAAATTACTTCCTAATTTACAATGAAGGCTATCAGTCTTCAAGTTTCATAACTTTCAAAATGAAACATTCCTCCCATTTATTTAATCATATGAAAAACACAGATAATAATAATAATAATAAAAAAATATCCCGACCCTAATATCCTGACCCTAAGTATCATCAACCTGTTTTCCATACAGTTCTTAAAAAAACTAGAGCAAAATGAAATCACACATCAGTTTCTGCACAGCGTTTATATTATTATTATTCCCTTGGGTTCCTAGTGGAACATCGGGCTTCAACTGCACGTCTCCACTTGCCACTTCTGTCTTCCTTCTGCTGTACTTTTCACCTGGATCCATGTTAGTCGATATTGTTTCAACTCCTCTTCACACGATCTCCTCCATGTCACCCTTGCACCGACGACCCACTCGCCGCTTCCCTTTCGGCCTGGTTCCACTCAAGCAATGGCCTGACGCGCGCGCGATGTCACCCAGCGATGGCCTCCCCAACGAGTATCCAATTCATCTCCACTTTCTCCTGCATATATGTTGGTAAAACCTCAATCTCTTAGTCGCTGAAGTCAGTCAGAGTTAGGTTCATCAGTACATCTATGATGAAATTAGACAGAAATAGGGATAGGGGGCGGCTTCCCTGATGGACATCAGTGGTTGTCACCACTTCCTATGACAATTCTCCGTAGGCTTTCATCTTGCTGTATTAGTTCGAGTAGAGAGCCTTGATCAGTGAGAGGCAATTTCTCGGCATTCCCTTTACAGCCAAACATCGCTATATTACGTCTCGGTTCTTGGATTCGAATTTCGCCTTTAGGTCAAGAAATATGACGATTGTTGAATGCCCGTGAATATGCCTATGTTCCAGAATCTGTCTAAGGTTGAAGGTTTGGTCGACACACTGTCTTCCTGGTCTAAAGTCCGCCTGGTTTTCTTGTGTTTGTTCGTCCTGAGCACCGATTAGTCTACGCAATATTATTGAGCCTAGGACTTTATTATATTATTATTGTATCCTTTAGTTCCTAGAGGAACATAGGGCTTCAGCTGCGCACCTCCATTGACTTCGGTTTTCTGACAACTTTTTCACCTTCTCCAAGTCTGTCACATGCTTTCATCTCCTCCTCGCATGACCTCCTCCAAGTCACCCTTGGACGACCAACTCGCCGCCTCCCTTTCGGGTTCCACTCGAGGGCTTGTCTAGTGATGTCACTTGATGGTTTCTCAGCGTATGGCCAATCCATCTCCATTTCTTTCTGCCTATTTGTTTAACAATCGGTTCCTGATTGGTTCGCTCCAGAGATCCCTGTTGCTGATCTTTTCTGGCCATCTGATCTTGAGTATTGAGCGGAGACAGTTGTTAATGAAGGTTTGAAGTTTGTTTGAGATGCTCTTTATGACTCGCCAAGTCTCTGATCCGTATAGTAGCACTGACTTCACATTGGAGTTGAAAATCCGGATCTTATTTTGATGCTGAGTGCTGTTGACCTCCACACAGATTTGAGAGTAATGAAAGCTTGTCTTGCTTTTCCGATTCTGGCTTTGATGTCCTCGTCAGTTCCGCCTGTAGTTGAGACGATGCTTCCAGGTAGGTGAAGGAGGTTGTTTCTTTCAGGTTCTTCCCATTTATGCTTATTGTGGTCTGTTGGTGTTGTTGATTTTGGCTAGGAATCTTCATTATCTCTGTTTTATCTATGTTCACTTGAAGTCCTATCTTTGATGCTTTTCTGCCAACTTGTTACTTTTCACTTGCCTAGGACTTTAGATACTATATTATCCCAGCTAATCCCTCTGTGATTATGACAGGAAGACTTGTGTCCCTTCTTGTATGTGGGGATAATCAATGACTTACAACAACCCGATGGGACTTTCTCTGATTTCCAGACACTGCCTAATACCTTAGTTAACCCAGACCGTCCTTAAACACCTCTGGAGTCATTCCATCAGGTCCTGTTGCTTTGTCTGGTTTCCGACCGGTGACAGCTTTTGTCACCTCAGTTAGAGATGAAGGATGTGTGTTTATATCCCATTCAGGGATGTATTGGATGTTCAGCAGGTTGAGCGTGGCTGTGGGCCAATTAAACTACTCCTCAAAGTGTTCTTTCCAATGTTTTAGTCATGTATCCTGAGGGCTAATTATGATAACATTTTTCTCGTAGACTGTTTCATTTATCATTTGCTTTTCGCCACCTGTTTCCCTGATAAGCCTAAATAGTTGTCTGGTGTTGTTGTCTATCGTCAATGCCTTTTCCATCTCTTTCGCTTTTGTTACCCACCACTGTTTACAGTCGTTTCGGAGGCTTCTTGTTAGTTTGAGTTTGAGTAGCTTTCGCTACTCATCATAATCGGAGCTCATGGGAATCAGTCTTCTAGCGTCAATCACTTCGGATGAGGTGGTGGAAATCCACTGGCTCTTACTAACTTTTAGTTTCAAGTGATTAACAGCTTTTACAGCTGTGTCTACAGCCAACTGTACATTGTGCCAGACGGCTTGCTGTCGATCTCAGATACTCGCTTAACTATTTCTTCGTTACCTTGCCTTCCCCCGCCCTGTCTGTCTGTTTTCGACATAGAACTTTGCACAAATGTGCGGTACTTCAAGTCGCCACACTCTTTCCTTGTAGCACACAAAGCAAGAGAAGAAAGTACAAGAAATGCATAGTAAATGCAGTAAACAGAGGTGTGAGACAAAGGAATAGTAATAACGAAGAACAATATAGTATACTAAGCCAGAGATGGTGTAGACTGGCATCTACGAAACTAGCCCCCTGTATCCGTACTCTGCTGAGATTTCGTCAGAGATCAACCCCTTATTTTATTTTTATTATTTTATTTAAACGCATAAAAACTTGGTACAATATGACACCAAGAAGGATGCGCCACACAACAATAATAAAACGACATAGACCGCAAGAAAGAAAGGAAAAAAATATATAAGTAAAGAACGGATAAAGAACTTCATCTAGAAGGAAAAAAGTCATGCGTAACAAGTTTAAACAGTATTCGTTAACTATCATCGGGAAGGGAAGAAAAAAGGAAATTGCAACACGTTCGCCATTGATGACTACGATTCTTGGCCATATCCGATAATGTTTTGAGTCATCGATTTGAGCAGCTGTTGCTTCATTTGATTTATTGTGTGTGAGGGCTGAGATACTGCCCGGGTGCCCAGACCGAAGCAGGTGATTTTCTTAAGGTACCACCCCCCCCGAGCCTTTGACTTGGAGTCTAATCCGCAAGGCAGCAGCGGAGCAGCGTCAGGAGCTGCATTCGCATGGTTCGCGGTGACCCATATGGGTTCATACTCCATTTGATCCGATTGGATACTGGAGCCCATGATGTACCCCATGGTAACTGCTTTTAGTTTAAGCTTCCTGACATGGTAGGACCTACAGGGGGCATGAATCCCAGTCAGTTTAACTTGGTGGGTCATTGTGGTATTCAAGCCCGACCACCACGGCAAGGTAGCAGTTATCGGCCGTTGGCACTGGCTGATGGTTATACACCTTTATACACCAATTATTTTTCCTTTTCTCCTTCTTCGTCTTCTTTTGCAGAATTACACCACCAATTGCACTTTCAAAATATACAACCCTTGAAATTGATTTAACCAATGATGACTCTTCAGATTCGTCAATTAATAATGAAGATACTACACCTAGTCGGATATTAGACACAGTCATATCATTTAATAAACACCAACATCAACAACACAATCAGCATCAACATTCTCGTCAGCAATACCAGCCTCAACATCATCAGCGTAATCGTCATCCTCGTCATCCTTATACGGTTGTAGCACTGCCACGACCATCACAACCCCAACAACAACAACAACAACAATTAGTCATCAATAATGGTGGAGAAGTTGGCCAGCAATTATTCAGTTCAACACCAACAACAACAACATCCTCCTCGACATCATTATCATCATTATCATCGATATCCTCATCAGAGTCATCAATGCGTCGTACACCTGATCAACACCAGCATCATCTACATCATCAATTAAGTCTTTGTACAAAAGGTGATCCATTGATTGTTATTAGTCCGTTACCAGCAATAAGTGTTGCTAGTGCTATATCTGGTTCACTTAGAATTGATGATGCTCAAATTGATATGCATTTTATAAATCATCAGTATAATTCATTAAGAAATGAATTTAATAAAGATGCTAATAAACAATTATCACTTATAAATACTACTAATAATAATACTATTATTACTATTACTACGACTAGTACTAATACTAATACTACAAATAACAATGATGGAAATTCTACACTATCGTCTATGCCTTCATTTACAACAAATGATAATGCTTTACTCAGTTCTTTGAATCCTGAATCAGAATTTTATAAACATTTATTAGAAGTGACTGCAAATCGAGTGAATCAAGCATTACTGAAAAATAATTCGTCCATGGACAACAATACTACTACTACTACTAATACTGCTATTGGTAGTAATAGTGGTGGGGGTGGTGGTCTTCCTTCTACAAGTGGAAATAAACGCAAAAGTAATTTATCATCAAGTAGTGACAGTAAACGAACTGACCATCGAACAAAATCCTCGAAGAAGATTGTTTTATTGGATTCTGATGGTGAGTCCTAGTTCCTCTCTCTCTCTCTCTTTATGTGTGTGGGTGTGGGTGGGTGCGTGGATGGATGTGTTCAGCTTTTGTGTGTTTCTTTGTTTTTGTTTAATTTTCATAATAGATGCGAACCTAAGTTCCAGTGGCAAGTCGGGTGTGAGGACAGAAATACTCGTTGAAGACATTGGTCTACGAGCTCGTTAGCCTTGTAACCAGAAGGTCCGGGGGTTCTTGGTGTGGTTGTGTTCTCTGAGCTAGCTGGATAGTTAATTTTTTGCGAAGCTTTCATCGCCCCCTCTACTAACTAGGCGACATCTTCAGCGCATGAAGTGAGCTTTTAGATTTCTCCAAGAGTTTATTAATCATCTCTCCTGGTGGGTGGGTGATCTTGGACGTCGTGATTGGTTGTTTCTGTGTGTTTTCACACCTTCTAGATTACTTGTGTATTGGAACTGATTGTGTCGTTGAATTGAACTTTGACTCCTTGTATGTGTGTGTGAGGTTTCTTTCTTATCGGTTGATAAATTTTGTCTATCTCTATGTGTGTATTGATTGATGATTCACTGGAATACCAGCAGGCTTCTAAAAATTCTCTAGCATTCTTGTTTGTTTCCTCTGTCTAATATTTGAACGTTGTCCCAGTCGAATTGATGCTCGCCGTTGTCTGTATGTAGTGAGTGATATGAGGGAGTGGATGTCATTTGTTTTGACGGCTAGCTTATATTTACGGATACGAAGGCGAAGAGTAGGGGTGTCCACTTTGGCCAACGTAGTGTTTTTTGCAGTCGTTGCAATTTACTTTGTAGATGATGTTGGTTTTATCTTCTTTCGTTGTTGAGTCTTTTGGTTGACATAGAAGTGAGTGAAGTGATTTTGTTGGTTAGTCTGAGACGTCAATTCCTAAAGGTTTGAAGAGTCTTGTAGTGATTTCTGAGATATCCTTTATATATGGTAGGACGAGTTTCTTTGTGCTTTCCTTGGGGGCTTTTGGTTTGATAGGTTGGCTTTGGGGTCCTGGGTTCGAACCCCCCGTGGGGCGGGTGCGTACTGATGAAGTGTCCCAAACTAGGATGAAACAGCTGACTGTCCAGTACTCCCTGTGGCTGGTTTTTCAATGGTTCTCTAACCTCGATGTCAGCTAATAATGAAATCCTGTAACGAACCAACTTTATCGAAAAAATCGGGGCTCATTTTTTGGGACTGTTTAGCAGTGCACATATCTATGATCCTCTGGCCAGCTAGGGATTGAACCCCTGTACCTTCAGGTTACGAGATAAAGCTCGTTGTGCTGGAATTCAATAAATCTCTGTCAGGTTACTGATGACTACTAGCGGGTAGTTTTGCTGAAGCTGCAGTGGGGGAGGGTTGTGACCGGTGGGGGTTTAATTATGTCGAGGTGGTGGAATGGATCGCCCACCGAAAACATTGGTTAGGGGGAAGTAGAGTTATACAATTTAGTAATACCCATTGTAGCATTAAGAAAGCAATATTCAGCGAAGAGACTCTTTTCAACAAATTTATTGTCAAGCTGTACAATCGTATGTATAATATGGTTTTTTAAGAAATTATATCAGGCGAGGGAATTAGATCAAAGGTGTGAACACATGAAATAACAATAGTATGAAATGCAATTAAAATGTTTGTGATTACAATCATAGTTGAATGTCAAGTGGCAAAATAATTGATGTCATACATATAATAATTCATAAGAAGTATACGAGGGGTGCATAATTATAGGAATAGTAGGCAAATATAAAATGTTACATAACATGGTGTGGAATTTGATGAGATAGAATTCAATATTTAAAAAAAAGTAATAATTTTGGATTTAGAATGACAAGTGGGACACACGGAAACAAGTTCAGATTGAGAGTAGCGCGTCGGTGGCGCAGTGGTTAGGACGCTCGCCGCCCATGCATATCGTCCGGGTTCGATCCCCGGCCAACTCACACCTCATATCAATTGTTGGCCTGCAAAATTTGGGCTACCGATATCACACACTGAAAATTCCGTACTTGTACCAAAATGCTATGTGAAATCAAGCTATAATAATAATATTAATAATAATAATTGTAGTAATAAGGGAAAGGTACACAAAATAACTAAATAAACAAAATAAATAAATGTCTATCCCTCTACAGCCAAGACAGAAGTAGGGATTGCACATACTTCTTTTGTACGCAAAGGTCTGGCTTAAAGTCATGAATGGCCAAGGCCTTAGCTGTCTGTAGAAGTCTGTAATGAAGAAAACGTGGTAAGTTAGCATGGATTCGGTAGATGATCTTAAAATCATGGTCAGGGTTGGCAGAGTGACAGGAGTCGATGAGGTGTTCTAGAATAGAGCCTCGCACACACTTCCTTTCTTCCTTGTAAAAGCTGTTGTGAACTTTTCTTATAATACGTATCTAATCATATTCATATCTCTACTGCTATTAACACTCGTTTTCGCCTTTATACGTTTAAGCCATTCCGGCTTCATTGTAAAATGAATAAAGCCTAAATTCTTGGTTCGTTCGTCTTTTCAAGATTCAAGCATCACTCATCATTCTAAGACTCAGTCACCTTCGTATCAAAACCATACTGCTGGAATATGTTCTGGTATCCGTGTGGTGGAAACCATTCTCTGGCTACGGCGAATGTACCTTCCTCCACAAGGGCAGGTGAACTGAAATATGCACATAGAAACAGGCAGACGCGGGAGCTTGTCTTTTACAGAGATGGAGAACAACTTGCAGTTGGTGAACGCCATTCGTAATTTTGCTGCAAAGAACGTCTTACACTGACTGATTTAGAGAGATGGTTTTTTTTCTTTGTCATATGTTTCTTGATAAGCTTGTCAAGATAGCCATTTTTGATCAAACTATCATATACGATGCATAATTCATCTTCAATTACTTCTTCTGAGCATATAGCCCTAACTCTGTGGCTGAGGGTCTTCACTAAATTTCTTTTGTACTTGATAGGAATGAAGCTGTGAAAATGTGTGTATATTGTCCTCTCCAAGTACTTTTTCTATGCAAATTTCTTTTTATGCTACCCTCTGGTTTTCTTGTAAGTAGGACATAATCCAGGAAGGCAATTCTGTCTTGGGATTCCTCTTCAAATGTGAATTTCATAGCCGAATGTACTTCATTGAATTCAGTGATTATTGTACTCCTATCAGAACCATTATCACAAAGAATGAAGGTATCATCCATATGTGTCGTCAATAAAATGAGAGCTTACTGATAAGGTTGTTCAGAAGTTCATTTTCTAGCTTACTTAGAAAGAAAGTAGCCAAAGTGGGACCCAATAAGGAACCCACTGCTACCCTGTCTACTTGCCTGTAAAGTATGCCGTCAAAATATTGTCTCTATGTGATTGCCTTTTAGGGATTTTTATATCCGAATAACGTTTGAATTTTATTTATTTATTTTTTGACGTTGTATCCCACAGTCATCCATGTTTGATATTCTGCTTTCTTTTGTATATTTTGTACAATTTAGATGAAATGATTGATGCCACGTCTAATCCCAATCCAACTTCCCCTACTACACATCGTCGAAATGCTCATATCGTGAAAATGCAACAAGTCACTGCTTTGGCTCGTCTAATCCAAGAAAGATCACGTCGTATTAAACCTTTAACTGAAACATCTAAATCTCAAAGTCTAGAGGCGTCGACAGCTGACAATCATCATCATCAGCACCATCCGTCAACAAGTTGCACCAGTAGTAGAACCGTACAAAAACACACTACTACCATCCCTATAGAATCATCTTCTAGAAAAACACGTCCATCTAGACAAAATCGTCGAAAAAGTCGAATTGAACCGATTGACAGTGATAATTCCTCTTGTAGTAGTAATAGTCCTAGTACTAGTAATACGTGTTGTATTTCAGAAATGTCATGTATCTCACAATCAGAATCGGAAGAAGAAGCAGGAGCTTCACGTGGATCTTCATTTAGTGGATCACAGTTCACAGATGAAGATGATGACGACGATGATGATGATGTATCAATTGAGTCTTTCTCATCGGATGATCGTTGGTCACCATCACGTGAATATAATAGTTCCAATAGAAGACAAACAACAAAACGGAAACCTACAAAAGTTAGACGATGAAAGTATATATATGTATGTATTTCTCTCTTTTTATTTTTATTGTTCAGATTTCTTAACAATATCATTTTTATTATTATTATTATTATACTATTAACTGTTCCGGCATTTCTATTCTCCTTATTAAAGTTTGTACAGTGTAATTGTTTTTGCCATTATTGCCTATTTGTATATTTTGAAACATGATCTCATTTGATGAACGAATGAATGAATGAATGAATAAAATAAAGTTAAATTGTGTTTATATATGTATATATGTGTGTGTAAAACAATTATTCCCTTTGATTAATTTAAATAAGGCATTATTAAGAAGACAAATTTCGCCGCGAGATGATATATCGTCGTCATTTCATAGTTTCTTTACAACCGCTTTACAACTAACATGGTTAAGGACTTCGGAATTCGGTATATAACCCTGAAAGCTGTGTTGACATTGATGCGATGTCTAGTATCGACCAAGTGTGACAGGATTGAGCTTTTTATGCACTTAATTTCCCCCGCCCTGCTGTGAACCAAGCTGGTAAGTGTTCTCGAACCCGTAGACGAACCTGCCTAATCTTGCGCCCTGTATAACTTGAACCATAGGAACAGTTGAAATGGTATATGCATGAAGAAGAGCTAAGGTTAGGTAAGGCATCTTTGAGTTGCTGGGTGAACATTGGACGGCTAGTGAAGGATAGACGCGGACGTGCACAGTAGAAAGATTTCTTGATCACCATGGTTAAACGTTTGGATAGAATTTCCGCGGGAGTATCTCCCTTGAATTGGAGACGTAAAAACAAAGACTTTTTCTCCACAGTTACCAGTTCATTTTTACGACTATTGTAACCTTTGTTGGCTTTAATGAAATTCTCTGGATATCCGTTCTCGCTTAGAATGTCTCCGATGACATGGAGTTCTTTCTCTACCCAGTCTTCGGAACAAACTGGACGTCGCTCTAAATGCTAAGCACCTGATTAGATTACGTTTGTATTTCATCGGTACGAAGCTAAGCTAAGTAATCTGTTATTCTACGTTAAAAATGTATCCGCCGGATAACTGGCCTTTATTGTAACGACAACAAATATTATATATTTTATAATAGTAAGAACCTGAAGAGAAATTATTGAAAAGAATATTCTTCGTTCAGATTCCATATTAGTTTGTTTATTAGGTGGATGTATCACACACACAGTGAAACAGTATTATTAGTTACTGGATGACAAAGTTTCAAACAAAATTTATTCATTGTTCATAATCATTTGATCAGTTATATAATCACACGACTTCGAAACTTGAATTTTATAGTCCTCTTTGTTCTCTCCTATTTGTCATCGTAGGCGTGGTAGTAGAATTTTCCAGATATCTGGGTGGACAGGTGTGTTGAGTCATTCCTAATACACGTATTCCCTGTCAGTTGATTCGATAAACACAGCTTCCGTTATCAATCCTGCTCCCTGCACCCTGTGACATTAGATTTTAAAATTGTCATCTTATCCAATCATATACTGTTTGTTTTTATGTAATTGCATATAGTGAGTGCTATACCTTGACTATTCTCCAGATTTCTTATCTTATTCGGGTCAACTAATCTGGATTTTGCAAGGTTTTTATGCTCCGCTAGTCTGACTGACTGCCCCTGTACTACTACTTTGACCTATGTATTTGACCCGACAGTATTAGATAAACTAAATTGTTTTGTTTTATTGGCCTCACAGGCAGGAGGATCTTTTAACCGACAAAGCTTGTTTCTAAATGGGTTTGTGGGGGGTTTCAACATCAACCACTTTTATTCCTGCCTTGTTTAGAATTCGGAAACCTTACGCAGAATTTTTATTAACAGGCCCAGGAATAAAAGTAGTGCTCAAACCAACAATAAAACAAAACAGTTTAGTTTATCTAATCCCCTGCCTGCAATGACTGTCAGTTCAAATGCATAGATGAAAGTAGCAGATCGCTGGTCACTTAGACCAGCAAAGCACAAAAATTTGACCCGAATAAGATAAGAAATCTGCTGGGAATAGTCAAGCATATAGCACTCACTATATGCAATTACATAAAAACAAACAGTATATGATTGGATAAGATGACAATTTTAAAATCTAATGTCACAGGGTGCAGGATTGATAACGTTTATCGAATCAACTGACAGGGAATACGTGTAACAGGAATGATTCAACACACCTGTCCACCCAGATATCTGGAAAATTCTACTACCACGCCTACGATGACAAATAGGAGAAAACAAAGAGGACTATAAAATTCAAGTTTCGAAGTCGTGTGATTATATAACTGATCAAATGATTATGAACAATGAATAAATTTTTATCGAAACGTCTTTTAGCAAATAATACTGTTTCAGTCACTGTGATACATCTAATAAACAAACTAATATAAAATTTTGTTTTCTTAATTTGATGGATAGCGATTATCAGTGGATTGCTGCGTGGATTGGTGTGGGAGGACGGGGAACTTGTCAGCTGGATGTTTGTTGTACTTGCATTCTCCTAAGGATTATTTATATGACAATTGTTCCATTTTAATTGGTTCCGAGTGGATTATAGGGCTTCAACAACTCATCTCCACCTTATTGTATTTTCTGTTGTCCCCCCTCCACTGGGCCGATGAATTCCCATAATCTGTCATCTGCCATCCCCACATGATCTCCTCCACTTTACCTTTGGACCGATGCCCAACTCGTTGTTTCCCATTCGGGTTCGCCCAGAGCGATGGTCTAGAGTGCCGGGCGTCACCAAACGGTCTCCACAGAGTGTCCCCAATCCATCTCCATTTACTCCTGTATATTTGTTGAACAATAGGTCCTTAGTTAGTTTGTCTCCAGCGAGAGTTTCTTGTTGCTAATTCTATCTGACCCACCGGCCATCTGATCCTCAATATGTAAAGCCAGTGAAGGAAGCTGTGGATAGAAGTCTGCCCTTAGCAGGTTGGAAATGCTTGTTGTGACGTGGACACCAGTTTTTTGACCCACACGGAAGACTATTGAGGTTAGGCGTCGAGTGCTAGGTAAGGAGGGGAAATCAACCAACGAGGCTGTGAAATCACATCGACTGAGATGGTTAGGACATGCCTCCAAATCCTCAGGATGGTCGGGGGTGGGTGACTTGCGCTGCGGGTTGGCCACCCCTCCGCACACCTCTTGAAATGCTCCCATATGACCGTGCGTCTTACATAGCCTCTCCTGAGGAAGTCCTACTCACTGCCTTCACGTGGCGGAGGTGTTTCTCACTAGAGCGAGAGGGCAAAAGCGGATGCCCGGCGCTCTCCACCGGGTTGACTGTCCATTGGATGACAGTCTAGGGGAGATGGCTAAACCCTGATTCCAAACCTTCAACGACTGGCGTATGAAGCTCACCGGCAGACGTATGGACAAAGGGCTTGTTGGATGTCCTGGATGTCTGGCCCCATTCAAAAAGGCGTATGAACCGAACCCCGGTCACCGGCTGCCAATGGATAGTGGGCTCCCTACTCCACTCCTACTGCCTTGTAGGTCACACTTGGCTGTGTAAAGGCTAGAGCTGCACTCTCAAACAAAAGGCCGAGCGATGCTGGGGACATCACTCGTACCAAATTCCCAAGAAACTTCATGAACTCGTTCATGAAGCCGGCTCATCCTCCCGTAGGAGATAGCCGAAGTAAAGTAAGTAAGTTAGGACATGTGATACGTATGCCTGGTCATCGCGTTCTTCAAATGACGGGCAATGTTAACTGACATAGGGTCAGGCTGGAAAACAGCTAGCGGACGTCAAACCAAAACATGGCACCAGTCAGTGAAATCTACAACAGTTAGTTTAAGCCAGCCAGCCACGTAGGAAAGTGTAGACTTCCTGACTGGTTGGGGTCCTCGGGACGGTAAAAATCATTGGTTTGAAACAATTGGTGATAAGGCTCAAAATCGTTCTTAATGACTGGCGCAGATGCATCCACTCCTTGTGACTTATGATTTCCAATGAAACTATATTGTTCTTCGTTATTACTATTCCTTTGTCCCACACCTCTGTTTATTGTGTTTATTATGCATTTCTTGTACTTTCTTCTCTTGATTTGTGTGCTACAAGGAGAGAGTGTGGCGACTTGAACTGGCCCATTTTTGCAAAGTTTTATGTTGACTTTTGATTTCCAATGAAACTGTTTTGTTTTTCTTTATTACTCCTTTGTCTCACACCTCTGCTCACTGTTTCTATTATGCTTTTCTTGTACTTTCTTCTCTTGCTTCGCGTGCTACACGGAGTGTGGCGACTTGAACTTCCGCACATTTGTGCAAAGTTCTATGTCGAAAACAGACAGATACGGAAGAAATGAGTGACTTCACATTTGTGTTGAACACAATTCAAATCTTGTTATTGGTACTGGGAGCAGAAGATTTCTCAACTGATTTCATATTTGATAAAGGTTCGCCTTACACCTTTTCGAGATGGTGGTTTTGAAATCCTCCTCATCTGTGGAGAGTCAGCTATAGTTGAAACTGGGCTGTCTGGCGGTAGGAATGAAGACACTGACTTCTTTCAAATTCCTCCCACTGAGAGTGATTGGTGCAGTTGTGTATCTTCATCGCTTATGTCTTCTCGATATCCATTTGAAGTCTTGCCTTCACTGCTTATTCAACTAGTTTGTTGGTTTTCGCCTGCAAGTCTTGGAGTTTGTCCGCGTATGGAATCCAGGTCTTCTAGAGTCTTCTTAGCATATTCCTGTCTTCTCGTTTCTCACGCATGATGTGCCGCATAATCCAGCAATATCATTGATGATAGCAGGCGGGCAGCGCTGTCTTACTCCTATATTCACTTCAAATGCCTCACTGAGTTTTCCGTTGTGGATCACCTAACAGAAGGTAAAGTTAAACTTTCAGCACCACTAACAGCCAATCAGCAAACGACCTTGAACGGACCAATCACATGAAAGATGGGTTTTTGATTCAGGAAAACGCATATTTATGGAAAAAAAGCATAAAAACTGTTACAGGGGGTATCTTTCTCTAACATGTGACAGAAACATCTCCCCGGATAAGC